GGATAATGGAGTGGTGACCTTAGAATATTTTGAGTGGCGGAAGTGGTACCAGAATAAAACAGAGCTTCAGTTCAAGTGGAAAGAATGAGGAAATCGAGGAGGTGTTCTTTGGTCTTCAGACGGTCTACGGGCCAGACGTTACGGGAAATTTGGTGAATGTGGCCAAAGTGAAGTGTGGCCGCACACTTCCACACTATCCGCGCTTATTTTTATCTCAATTAATTTTTTTTTTTGCGATTCTATAAAAAGACCCTGAAGAAAGATAAATAACGAGTGTCTATACAAAGTAAGGAAAATTTTGCCACATTACTGCACAACAGTAAAGTACGATTGGAAAAAAATCAATTTTTTCCCTCCGTCGCTCGCGCTCGGCTAAACTTGGTTATCATGAAACGTAACTCGCGAGCGTACCAAACATACTTGACATGTGACGTAGCTATTACGCAGATACAGGAGCCCTTTACCGCGTGCTTCTGGCACACGTTGATGCTAATCGTTTTCATGGATAGAGAGGAGGCTCCGCTTGAATAAATTTCTTGACAAAAATCTTCAGTCTTCGACCCTTGGCCATTGGCATGGATGAAAACAACGATAACCACAAAACTGGTAAAAAAAACCTTTAAAAAACTTGAAAAGCACCTGCCTGGATGAACTGGTCAGCGGAAACTCTAAAAAAGTGGTTATTTTTAGAAGCATGCATCGCTGTTCGTTGAAGTTATTACGGAAAGAAACAGGTTTTTCACTTTGTAGATGACCATTGTCTTTGTTGGAGTTTCTTTCAGTGATTTGAACTGCGGAGTCTCGAAAGAAGTTTCATTGACTGGTGTTACCGTTTTCATATTTCCATGTTGTTCAACACGTCTTTGTTGCTAAGTTCGCCAAATACGACAACAACTTCGCCAACCCCCATTTTAAACGAACTTACTCCAGTTGCAGTCGATGAACAGATTTTCTTCCAAACCGCCGCTGCTCGCGGAATTTCGGGTATCTTTGTGTGGTTATCTTTAATTATAACCTGCCATCAGGTGAGGAATAGTTAAATTTTGAAAGAAAAGTATTTACAAGATACACGAAACGAAAGTGTACATTGAATTCATACGCGAACTAGCGGTTGTATTTGTAATATGGTTTTGCCGATTTCTCCTCTCATATCGGAACCAATTTTTCTAAGTCAAAAAATCTTGGACTCAAAATCTGTCCATTTTATTACAGCAAGACCCAAACTTCAAACTCCAACTTGCATCAACGTACAAGTTTGGAAGGGGCATGACCTACTGTTGTTTTCATGTCTTTTCTCATCACTAGGAGTGACTCTCAACTCCTCTACAATGTTGGGAAGACTCTTGAAATCCATTTTTACGTTAGATTTGTTGTTTTCTATTAGAACATTTTAGGCTTAATTTAGATCTTTGTTTAGATCGTCTGTAGTCGCAGCGAGTTTTGACAACTGATAAATTTCAAACCAATTTCCTTTCTACAATCACCCGCAGTGAGCAGTGAAACTTCAGTTACGTTATTTCATATGTCGCGAACGATTCTGTTTAAAGAGAGTACAGCTGCATGTGCTTGCAACATAGATCATTTGAAAGGTAAAAATATAAAACGACTATCAAAGATAAATTATCGGTGATTTTTTGAGGATGAATCGTACAACTGAGAAACGTTTATCTGACACTCAAATCAATGTAATAAATATTTCCTCCTCAAACTATGACATGGTATTTCTTGTATTACTAAGAATAAAATTATGATTAAGTATTGCATGCCAGGATTGCTGGTTGTCACAGATAGCTTGTGAATGGCAAAGACAGCTTGTAAATAAGGTCTTTCATTTTCAGTAATGAAAATTGACATTAATGAAGATCCCTTTAGAAGAGAAGTATTCTCCGGAAACCATATGCTTTGATTCATCTCTAATGTTAGTGAATATATTCAAATACTAACTACTTACTGCATTTTGAGATTTCCAAAAGATAACCTATTCCTTTGAAAATTGTCTTTTAAAATTGTGCAGGAAGTGTGTTTTGTTTATGATTGTAGGTTGATGTTTTAACTCATATCTTGCAGATTTATCAACATTTAAGGTATTACACTAACCCAAATGAGCAGAGGTGGATTGTGAGAATCCTGTTTATTGTTCCTATCTATGCATTTGATTCCTGGTTGAGCTTGTTATTTTTTGAACAGTCATATTATGTCTACTTTGACAGTATCAGGGATTGTTATGAAGGTACTTAATATTTTTGAATTTATCTTACCAATTGAATGCCAGCTTCCGAAAACAGTAGCTTATCAAAACACACCATAGAATGAATAACTGTCTTAATACTTCCAAACTTGACAACAAAGATGTAACAGTTTAAACTATGGAAAAATGTATGTTCTTTGATCATGTTCTTTTTTTTGGTGGAATGAAAATCATGATCTTTACTTGTTATTGTATATTATCCCTTTGATAAAATCAAGTGAATTGTAGACTACTCACTGAGCCTGCATGTTGAGAATATGAAGTAATTGAGTCAGTCTTTAACCCTTTGACTCCCAAGATCCAATTGTCAATTCTCCCGTCTAGCTACTACACATTTCTTTGTAAGTTAGTTGTGAGGATTTTATGATAGATCAAGAAAACAACTTCTACCCAATAAGTTTGGGTTACTATTCTCATTACCTGTTTGCTGGATAATGAATGGATATTATAGGGAGAAGTTACATGTTAATCACTTCTGGGAGTTAAAGGGTTAAAGAAACTGTGGTGCTGCATCATATCAGTAGGGGATATAACAAGATTTTATCAGAGATTGTAATTATGACATGCATTCTGCATGTGGCCAGGATAGGCAATGTTGAAAGCATTGATTGATTTAGTAGAGAAAGATAGATGCTGATTGAGCTCTGTCATGGGAAGAGTTAAAATTGACACCTAATAAATATTATTTGGTCACTGGTGCAGTAGCATTTTATTTTGTTATATTTGGTGTCCTTGAGAAACTTATTTAGGAAAATCACATAGCAACCATCTTTTGCCTTTTACAGATGATTTTAACAAGATATACACAATCCTTATAAAAAGGAGTGCAAACATCTCACAAAGCAGCCCTGTTATTGTCATAATTGATGTAAATAACTGTTAAGAGCTCATTACTTTAGGAAGAACGTACAGTTTGCTATATTTAATTTCTGTCTTGGGTAAAAATGTTGATTGCCAAAATCTTCTGACCAGAATAGAAAATGATTGTCAGCTAAGGGGTAACATGAAGGTGGTTGTGAATAGAATTTCCTTTAGCTTTTGTGGTGTGGCTGTTATTCCAGTCTTTTGAAATTGGTTGTCTTTTTTTCAGCATTTGTTATCTACAACTTCTTGAGTTTGTGTTACGAATATTTGGGAGGTGAGATGTCAATCTTAAGTGAGATAAGAGGACGACCAATCAAGTAAGTGAATCATCACAGACTGGCAGATTTTACATAAATTGTTGGCCTTGTGATATTTTTTAGCCGCAAGAGTATATTATTAGGGATACTAAATTTGTCTGTATGTTGCCTTAATTGATGGCTCAGAAAATGCCAGTGATGTTCTTTAAAAGGCATGCAAAGTATTTCATGACATGCTTTTGGAATATTTGAAATTTCTTAGAGCATGCAAGTCATATCATTCACCAAAATGAGTGTTGGCATTTAAATGAACAAAACACAATTATGTGAATTTGGCAAACATTTTAACTGTTATCGTAACATGAAGCTGTGTATCACTAGGTAACTGGAATATCAAGAACTGTGAGTGCACTGACCAAGTTGGAATGTTACTTAATCACATTGCCTAAACTTTTTTTAGCTCTTAACCATTGATTGTCTTTTCAATAGATAAGCTGCTTTTACTGGAATTTTTCCATGAGTTCTTTTTCATGATCCTCTTTTTTTTTTTTTTCAGAGCCAGTTGGTTATGGTGCACATGTTGTTTAACAGGATGTCAATATACAATAGTGTTCTTAAGATTCTGTAAACAGGTGAGGTCTGATATATCATCTTAGATAAAATGTCCTCAGTTGTCTTTTTTTAAATTTTATTTCTAATTTTGCTACACCATTAGTTTGGAAAATATAGATATTCAAAATTATAATAAACAAGAAATATTACTGATAGATTTCTTGCCTTCTTTACCTTTGACTTTGGAAGAAATAGTCACTGTAGTTGCGATTAGATGTGATGGGTTACTAATGAAATTTCTCTGGCTTCAAGGAATTGAGAGATTTATTTCTCTTCTTTTATCCTGAAGTTTAGTATTCTGAGATACAGAATTAAGACACCCTTTTTGTCTTCTTTTTGGCACTACTGAATGCAAAATTCAATTTCATTTATTTTTTCACATCAATGATACCTAGATTTCGGTACCCTTTTTTTTTTTTTTGACACTCACGGGTGAACTTGTGCTTACAGATATCATTGAAAATTCTTACCATCGTGGAAGTTGTTAGGAGAAGCCTCTCTTGCTTTTGGAGCTTCTCTCTGACAGGGTAGGAGCTGGTAAAGTTGCCACCTGGATTTTTAAGGGGACTCGTGTTAATTGCTCTTCAGTGATTGTTGTTGTTGTTAGTTTTTTTTTTCTGCATGCTACTTTTGAAACTTAGATTAGAACCAGGTACATTTTCTATATGCTGTCAGTTTGTATCGGCCTAACAACAAAATGACGTGATTTCATGATTGACTCATGTTCCTCCAGGCCACTCTTCAGTACTGTGTCATAAAACCCATCATGGCAGTCATTACACTCATTCTTCAGCCACTTGGTTACTACTCTGATGGAGACTGGAGGTAATCACAGTCATGTGACTGTATTGTCTTATATTTTAGGTTTGATTTAAATTACAAAAAAAGAAACTGTTTGATGAAAGTGTTCTGTTAACAATTCCTTAGATCTTTGTCCCAAAAATTGATATTGCTAAGATAAATATTGTTTAAAATAGCACACTTTTGTAACCAGTGTACTTAAATATAACTAGCTTTTGCATCAGGCATTCAGATTGCCACCAAGTTGAAGGGGTCAAGCTGTTTAACCACTGACGTGGGTGTGATGCTTCCAAACACCCACCTCCTATTCCATTTATCAGGGTGCCTGCTTTGTGCATTTTTAAAATCCTTCTTAGTACTAAGATGGGAAAATTGATTAGTGAACAGGCATAGACTGAGCATGGCCATCATGCTTGGTTAAACTTTGAATGTTAACATCTAAAATGGCTACTTTTTTGTTGATATGAAAAGAAACAAAAGAAAAAAGTTAAAATAAAAGATATTTCACCAAGAAGTATCATGTTAGGGTCGTGTGATTATGAGCTTATAGTCATTTGTGTTAGTAAATAGTACCATCACCATCTGGTATTCAGAGTATGAGACTCACTCATATATCTCTTGGTTGTAGGCTTTTTTTACTTTTAAGGGTGAATAAATGGTGAACTATTAATCTGCTTAGGAAGTACATCAGTCCAGTAGATTAATCATGTTTAGATTATTAAACTGTTTTTATTGTTGTATTTCAGAGCTGACCGTGGCTATCTGTATATCACAATAGTGTACAACATCACGGTATCACTGGCTCTGTATGCATTGTTTCTGTTCTATCAAGCCACACGAGATCTCCTTAGTCCTTACTATCCTGTGCTGAAGTTTTTTACCATAAAGTCAGTTATTTTTCTTTCTTTTTGGCAAGGTAAGAGTAATTTCTATCAACGCCTTTTAAAAGTATATCTGGATGACCATGTTTTAAGATTCAAAGATTTATTAGCCTTAACTAAATTATCGACAATGAATGCCGCCATTTTGAATCTTGCTGAGCAACCTGGCCGCACATATCTGACGTAATTAAGTCACAGTCCTCTTTTTCCATCCATGGGCGATCTGTTTGAACTTTACACAGCTATACAGAAGTGATTCTTGCCAGAGAAAAAAAAAAGAAGACAACAAAAACGATGTTGTGCAAAATTTTTGTTTCCTCAGGTGTTCTACTAGCTGTGCTAGAAAAGGCGGGAGCCATCAGAACATATCGTGACTTATCCGCTGGCACAATTGCTGCCGGGTATCAGAACTTTGTGGTCTGCATAGAAATGTTCTTCGCTGCCATTGCTCTCAGGCACGCCTTCCCTTACTCGATTTATCGCCATCAGAGAAAACTTGACGAGCGAGGGCAAGGAATCGCGTTGAAAAGTATCTCTAGAAATCTAAGACAAACGATAAATCCTAAAGACATTGTAGATGATGCGATTCACAACTTCTCCAGATCTTATCAGCATTACGCAAACGCGCAGAATCTAAAAACTTTCAACGAGGAAAGCACTGTGCAAGCGAACTCTGTAACTTCATATCGAAGCACTGTTGTGGAAAACTTGGATTCAATTAAACCTGGAATGCAAATCACAGTTCTTGATGGCCATGGATACAGATACGATAATGAGAATTCCACGCTACTTGCGTCTGACGAGGAATTTTAGTATTTGGTATTCGGCAAGCACCAAAATGAAAAGAAAAAGAAGAAAGAAAAGAAGAGAGGAGAACGAAGAAAAAAAGAAGAACATTTTAAGTAAAATTTGACTTGGAAAAATATGAGGAAATGGAGAGTGAAGCCAATCTTTTGGCGAGGTTTGAGGATTCGAGTACGCCTTGGCCATCCTTGTATCATACGATGAACAAGACGTATTGAGTAAGAAAAGAAAAAAGCGGTCTGAAAATTAATGAACCTCCTGATTCAGGGGGCTCATGAGCAAAAAAAAAATGGATTGCGGTTCGCAAGCGTTTATTTTCGTCCCATTCAAAAGAGAAGGTTAATACTGTCTTTTTGTAACAACATCTAGAAGACCTATAGCATGATATCCTTAACTCGATAATCTGAGGTAAGAGCACCTTTTTTGTTTACTACAAAGAATTGAACCGTTCGAACAAAAAAGGCTTTAAGGCAGTTTTCTCTCTGATAAAAAAACAAAGTGTGGACTTGGGAAACATTTTCACAATCTAAGTTTCTTGCGTGAGCTTTAAACTGTTGTAGATGATTCCATCCGATCATAATTATTTTGTTTCGTTAAATATGTATGATTATTGATGGTTAATTACAACTCCATCCAGACTATTCCATTAAGATCTAAAAAAAATAGTGAACAGAATCAGTTGTAATAAAGTGATGAATGAAAAATTTCTCCGCAACTAGCGAGCAAGCAAAGTATCTCAAATTTTTGCAGTTTAGTTTTTTCTCCGAAACTAACTTGTTTTGTAAATATGACAGATTGAATCTGTAGATGTAATGTTTGTTTGTATACCTTACTTAAGATTGAAACTAGTTTGTTATATTGTTTACACCAGAAATCTACTTTTAGTGATGGTATTGTAAGTCAGAAGACGCGAGTGCTTAAGTTTGCAGCGTAAAAAATAATTTAAGGCAGTTTTTAAGACATTCATTGCTTTGTCATTCATCTTGCTCGGTATAAATGATGTGCGTTTTGGCTAAGCATCAAATGTCTTTTGTACATTTTGTCTCAAACATTTAAATTGTAAATTTATTTTAAAGCTATTGTTATTTATTCATACCAGTACCATTCAATTCATTTATGTAGATGTATTTTTCCGCTCAGAAAAGTTGATGTAAATATTGCTTTCATTGTAACTGAATAAAAATAACTAAGTGTTTTAATACTGAAATGGTGCCCTTAAGTGTATTGAACGTCCTTGTTCAGCATTGTGGTTCGATTTGTGTTCATACCGTGCAACGGCTCCAGCAAAACTACGACATCTTACAGTAAATAAGCGGTTGAAACCCGTGCACGCTGGTAAATAGAGCTTATCGCAGCGGTACAAAAATTGATTCGTAAACTTGTTTCTCGATATTGAGGACGATAACGATGATGAAGCGTTCTTGTAATAGCGATGATAGAAAAATTTTAAAATTAGACTACGAGTTCCTCCTTCTCGGCGAAGTCCGTTGCGCGGGTTAAAAAAAATCAGCAAAGAAGAAAGTTGATGTCAGCGCGCCGCATGAAACTCTGCACCTCAGTCTCAGAGTTCCAAGTGGTGCGCAAGGATCATTTTTCCACTCATGTTTTTTACTCGCGCAACGGACTTCACCGAAAAGGTGAGACTGCTCGTAGTCTAATACAATGATACTGGTCATTCTATTTGTTGAAGGTATCGCAAGCTAACTCACGTAAACTAAATTAAAAATTACATAAAAGTTATGGAAAAGGTGCGAACGGGCAACCTAACAAAAACTACATCGCAAAATTAAGAAAAAATTCTTATTTTATTTAAAAAAAGTTATAGAAAACAAAACAATGCTAATGAACAAAAACTATGAAAGGCTATATCGATACTTTGGGAACGAAATAAGCTGAATGCTCAGGGAACAGATCTATGTCTAGTAAGCTTTAGCATTATTAATGCCACTTTATCACACAAGGTACTTTCAAAATGAATTTCACAATGCAAGCTACATGCTGTAATGTTTCCACGTCACAGTCTATCTTGATTTTCATGCTTTTAAGTTGAAACAGTGACCATTCCTATTTAGGCGTCGCGAAAGAACTAAGCAAATATTTTTAAGTAAGGCAAACAAGGAAAGAATTAAAAAAAACTTATTTCCAATTCAACACATGCAATGAATTCAATTAATTTCTCAGGACATTCCATGTGGCTGGAAATCTTCGTACTAAACTATTTGGCTTCTTTTTATTGGATAAAACACTTGTTGTTTAAACCAAATTCAAAGTTTCGCTTTAGTGTTTTCAGCTCAGTGTTGTTTGGATCAAACTTCAGTCCGTACAGGCAAACCCTTAGTCCATCTGCGAATTTTTTATGATGAGCTGAGGCAACTTTGAGAAAAGTTTTGATTGCCACTTCTCTTCCGGGATAGGACGAAATAAGTGTAATCGCTGTCACCTCTTGCGTTTCCATAGCAACAAGGAAGTCCTTACATGCGCCATTGTAATTCTCATCGAGCAAGTGCAGATTACCGCGTGCCACAAGATCTCCGACGACTGGTGCGCCCGATCGAATGACTGACGTCAGGTCTTCGATAGCTTCTGGAAATCGCCTGAGCCTTTCATAACATTTAGAACGCATGCGCAGAATCTCCTTCAGCTGACCATCACACGTCGCGGCTGCAGCAACCGTGAAGAATCCCAAGGCATTGTCATTTTGATTGACGTTAGTATGATAGTTCGCCTTATCCATAGCTTCTTTAGACAGGATTTCTCTCTGCTCCTGATTTAATGCTTTGGCAGCGAAGTTCAAGGCTTCAGGATCGATGTCGGCCAGTTCTCGAAATTTTGCTGCCGAAATTTCAACTTCATTGAGTTTCATGTGGACGAGTCCACTTCGGCTGAGTATCGATACATCTTCGGAAGACAGTCGTTTGGTGATGTCGAGCTCCTCAATGGCTTTTCGGTACTCTTCAAAGATTATGAGGCCGTCGGCGTAAAGGCTGTGGTAAGAAGCTACGTCACTGTTTATTTGAACCAATAAATCACAGAGCTTCAATATAAATTTGGAACGGAAACCTTGTGTCAGGTAATGAGAAAACAGCATTTGGACACAGTCTTCAAGGGTTCCCACCACAAGATTCTTCTGATTATCAGGAAGTGAAAGGATGAAAGTCTTAAGTGCTTGAGAGTTGAGAAGTAACGCCAACAGTAAGTCATTGTAGCTCGCTTTCCGGTTGTTTTTCAGGATAAAGAGATGACCTCTCACACAGAGCACCTCAACATGATTTGGTTTTTTAATAAGCACTGAATTCAGGTCTGCGATGGCCAAATCGAGCTGACCCTTCAACATTCTACACTTTGCTCGCCACACGTAAGATTCCAAGGCTTTGATTGGAGAGGAGGCGATGGCTATGGAAAAATATCCTTCTATTGTTGCATCTCCTAGGTGAGCGTTAAATCTCTGTACGCCCTCGCAATGCGACTCGCGCGTTAAACGCGCACGGTCTTTGTCAGTTAATCTCAACATTGCGCTTGCAAGTTTCTCTTCTCCTATCGTTTTCAAAAGGGAACAGATGTCTTCCAGTGCATCAGCTGTTCTGTTTCGCCTCATTTTCAATACAGCAAGATGTAGCGTTGCTAAATAGTCATCGGGATTGTTTGTAATTAAGCGAACAAGAATTGCTTGCGCTTCATCCATCTTACACAGCGACTGTAATATTTCCACAAACACATGATGACACTCGAAGTCCGTGGGAAACGCGCGCGTTAACACGTTACCTAAAGTGACGAGCGAGTCGTCCTCGCACAAGCCTCGACTCTGGGAGTGTTTCTTGGGGGTCGTTACTAAGTATTCCTTGATTTGATTCTTCAGTGTTTCTTGCTCACAGTCGGGTAATTCTTTTATCCAGGTGACTGTGGCACAAATAGAGATCCCGCTTGCTGCTGTCAGATCTTTAGCCGCCTTGCCAAGATCTCCACTCAAGAGCAAAACAAAGGCGCGCCCACAAAGCGCTTGGACAAAACTTGGCTGGATGTCGAGGGTCATGTTAAAGTCTGCAAAGGCGTTACTCAAGTCAGCGGTTTTCATGTGACAAAACGCACGAGTGTAATAAGCTTTGGAACACATTGGGCGGAGCGTAAGTACTAAGTCAAGCGCGCTGATTGCCGCAGTATCTTTGTCTTGAAGCTTTAAGCACTCCGCAGCATTAACTAAGGCATCAACGTTGTTATTGTCCAGGAGATACAACATCCTGTACATTTGCGCTGCTCTATCTAGGATGTCAGCGGTATTTTTGGCGTCAACTGCACATGGGCTTTTCAATCTGACTTTAAGGCGGTAACGGGTTAAGACCTCAGATGAGATCTTTTTAGCGAGAGCAGTAATGTTATCTTGTTGTTGATGGGGCAAGGAAAGTATCGTGATCTGCGTGATATCCTCATCAATGGCTGCCGCACAAAGATAATCATTTAAGGCAGATTCGCTTTCCTCCAGAGCTAAGTAGCACTGTGCCCTTTGAAGCAACAGCTCCACCACCTCCGGCGTTTCTCTTTTCCCTAGTGACGTTATGTGATCTAGTCCATCGGACAAAAGGACGACAGCTTGCTTGTGTTGATTTAGTTTGATCATATGACTTGCACAGTCGCCGATAGTAGACGAATCTTCCGGATTTAACCCAACAACGATGCGGTCAGTTTTGATCAACAAAAATCTCTCCTCCTCGCTGAAGTTTTTTGACTTTTCAGCAAGAGAAGCAATGAACTCATAGAGCGCTTCTAAAACGGATGGAAGGAGTTTTACCCCAATTTCCTTAATGCAGGTTAAACCAGCATTAAAATCTTTGTCGCACGCGACGATCATATCCTGTACAGCAAACTTCTTTTCCTTCAGGAGAATGTAGGCCATTGCGCGATGAACCAGAAAGAAAACTACATCAATCTGATTGGAAAATATCTTCACGGCGTCGGCACACGTCGTTACGGCATCAAAATATTTTTTGCTCCGCATCTGCAGTCGAAGTTTTGTGGACCAC